GCAGCAACAGGAGGTGAAACCAAACCTGGCGGGTCCTTCTTGCGTCTGCAATATGCCCGGAGAGCCGTGTGCTGCGGGCAGTACTCTCGGAGAACTTGACGAGCTGGCTTTGTTCAAACAACAACAACAGCAGCAGCAGCAGCAACAATTCAAACAGGGGAGTGACATTATGAGCTTCCTTTTACGCTCCGTCAGTGGTTCCAACCTGCCGACGAGAGGGCTCCTGGAACCCCTGCGTGCCCTTCCTACGCCTCCAGTTGGTGCATCACAGGCCTTTCCCATGCCCCAGTTTGACCATTGGGGTTGTCTAGAGGCTCCGAGGGAGGTCAGTGGAAATGAACGCTTCAGGGAGGAGGCAAACAGTAGTCAGCCTCCATTTCTGTCAGAGCTACCTGGCTGGAAGGCGATGAACCTCAGTCCCACTTCATGCTGGAACCCAACCGGTATAATGTCCCATCAGAACTTTCTCGGTTAAAGAGACGAGAAACGCATTGAAAGGCTACAGGGGAAACAAATCTACTTATTTAATCAGCATCTTTAGATAAATTCACACACAGTGAGTGTTTTGAATAGCAGACTGCTGTATAGGCTTTAAATTTTGATTAAAATCTGACGAGAACTATTTGTATATATGGGCTCTACCTACAAACCTACCGCACACGAATAGTAGATCAGCATACTTTGCTACAGTGCATATTTCTAAAAGTTATCGTTATACTCCCTAATTAAAAGCACATTTATCTGAGCTTACTTTATGACTCACGGGAAGGTCGGATTGTTTGAAAGAAATATCTTAAAGGAACTAAGAGACACCCTAAAGGTCATCTTATATGGCAAGAATGTCATTAAAAGGTATAGTTTTTAAAGAACTATTGCGTAAATCCTGCGTCAGCAAAAAATAACAAAAGTACTCAAGGACGTAAAATTTCAAACAATTAACCTATTCTTCACGAAGGCAATCGTGTGTTGTCAGTTATTGGCAATATATGTGGTTTGATCGGAAGTTATCTCAGGATTTCGCAAGGCTAAACTTGCTCGTAGGCAGTTCTAACTACTGAAAACGTCAAAATGAACTTTGTTTGAGGGCACATACAGATGGTTAACAAACATGAAGGTTAATTTATTCAACTGATGACAACCTGCACATAAACCCCCGTTTTTGTTTTAAAACGAGGCCTAATTTCAGTCTCACTATCAAAGGCAAAGGTGTAACTTTCTTACCCTCAGAAATTCTGGGTGCGAGGAATGAATAAAGGAATACGGTGTTCATCCTTCCCCGAAGAAGACGAGTTCATGGACCGAAGTTTTGGAACCTCTCTCGTTTCTATCATCAGAGTAGTGTGTTGTTTCTTTCTGCTCTGGCTTTCAGGCCTGCTTGGTAGTTGTCGCTTGATGCTGACCTATCCGAACTGCTGGTTAGCTCGCGTGACCTTTGTTCCCTTTGCTGCCGTTCTAGTCGTTGGCATGTCAGCGTGCCCCCCCGTCAGCCAACAGACTAGTTAGTCACTCGTTGATTAAGACTCACCTTACCGCTAACGGAACTCATTTGTCCCGCTCTGCCTAGGGTCTCGACAGAGGCCCTGACAGCCGTAGCAGCTAGTACTATAGGCAGATGGTACTACCGGTTAAGGTCGGAAAATAAGCCAGAAATGGCCATTTCAGTTTCCCTTGCATTTGCCGGCAATAATATCTGCCTATAGTGCCAGACTAATTAGGCACTGGTGGCCGTGTGAATCGATTTCGACCTCTGAGTGCGGCGGTTAGGTAGTTCCACGTTGGTCACGTGATCTCTAGCGGGCTCCTCTCCCATTTTTCGTTGGCCTCAGCTTTCTGCTACGTGTGAGCTTGATGGACTGTCTTCTTAACCTTGTCCGAATGGACTCGAGCCTTGTGCGTAGCGCCTGGTAGGCAGGATACGGGTTTATGGCTCTGTTGAATGCCAGTGTCGAGGAAACTGTATATAAGTATTTACAAATTCTCGAGCTTTTTAGGGGGCGATGGAACCATTTCTCTCCAAAGATTGTTTTTGTTTCTGCGCCGTCAGTCGGTTCAATGATCTCGGTGCCAGAATCCACTTATACTTTAGGGCTCCTATTTTATCTCCCTTTTGTTCATTGGGCACTAACTTGTGTCTTGGTGTAAGCTTTCGCGAGAGATTATTCGTATCCACAGACTAAGGATGTAAAAGGACTGAGAAAAGCAGCCCAAGTCGGTCCCTTAAGATAGTTGCTCTGTGTTAGAACTTCTCCACGCTGACTGACTGTCCTTTCTTTACGGTTGATTGTAATCCTGTAGAAAATCTCTCAGCAGCAGATCACAGGAAATCACTCCACTCAGAAAATGGCTTTTCGTATGAGCTTACGACAGTTTCCTGAGAAAGCAGACAACCTGTGACATGACAGTGCATTAAAAGACTAGTAAACGAATGCACCAAGGGCAACGGCACGTCAAAAGATCATTCGATTTCGATATTTTATTGCAAGTGCCGAAATTTGAGCCCCAATATTTTTACTAAACCGCTATATTTCGGTAATAGTATGCATAATTTTAGCACACAGACGCGTTTGCCAGACCGAAGGAAGGGCACATAGGAAAGCAAAGTATTTTTCAGTTGACAAAATTGTGAAAAACTCGCGGCCTCGGTGGAAGTCGAACCCACCCAGCACGGAAGGCTTTTGCGCAGCCAAGGGTCTATCACTGAGCTACGAAGGTCACAGTAAACCGTAAATTTAATCATACTTTGGTCGATTTGCTTGCCAAAACCTTAATAATTATGATTAGCCTAGTAGTCCATCCGATGGATCCTAGATGATTACTTAGGAAATCTTGCCTGGCAGTCAGCCTACTATATCCGTACTGGCGGATTCCATGAGGGCAGTAGGCTGGGCAGGCAAATCGAGCCAGCTGTGATTAAATTCACGGCTCACGGTGAGCCTCGTAGCTCAGTGGTAGGGCGTTGGTTGCGTAAGAGACTTCCCTGCGGTATGGGTTCGACTTCCACCGAGACCGCGAGTTTTTCGCAATTGAGTCAACTGAAATCATTGAAATCTGCCAAACTCCTAATAAAGCAAAGTATGGATAACAATACCTTCGCTCAGAAAAGTCGCAAGGTTTTGAAGTCAAGAGTAAACAAACCATTTAATTTTTCTGTAAAACCAACTGGACTATATGTTTGTCCGACTAGCCAAGATGACGGTAAGAATGGTGTCCTCACAACTTAACTGACGACTGATTCGCAGTGTTCAAAATTCCCATCAAAGATGATGTAGGTTGACTCCATGAATCGGCCCTACAAAGTGAAGGGTAATGCATGTTTTAGGTAAAATTGGGGATACAGTTCTTTTTCGGCCAGATCGGTCGTCATGACTATATTGAATGTTTTACGTACCTGAAAGGGAGCTGCGGATTCGACTGATATGGAGTAGCTACAAAACACGAAACTTTGGGAGTAACTGGTAAGGTTGTTTTTAAAATAAATGAGCAGCCGAACTAGTCGAAAGGTATAATTGAGTATGTTTTTCAGTTTAAAAAATGACATGTGGACAGGGACTTTAAGGTGCACCTTTGATTGGCAGTATGGAAAACAATCCAAACAATATTCCGAAACTTCCTCTCGATTTCGTGCTGAAACTTCTTTTAGATATTGGGCGAATATGAGATGAATTATTGTGCGGGCTGTACGATATGATTTCTATGTGTGGGTAATAGGCGGCTTTGATAAAAGATGCGCCCAGCATGTTAAAAAACACTTTAGTAAGGCCGAGCAGTCGTGAGAAATGCAAAAATAGAAAGTTATGACAACAAGGAAGATCGAGGTCAAAAATATGGAAAAAGGTTGGAGACGGAGAGGAAAAATTTAGACTCAATAAAAATACTCAAAAGAAAAAAGAAGAATAGGAATGTGGTGAGCGTGGGGCTGGTGATGATGATGATGATGATGATGATGATGATGATGATGATGATGATGATAATACTGAGGTTGATGATGATGATGATGATGATGATGATGATGATGATGCTGAGGATAGTAAGTAGGCATAGGGTGATGCCGATGACAGTTACGACCCCGAACTCAAAAAAAGTGAGAATAAAATGGAAGAATAAATGGGAAGAAATGAAGAGATAGCTAGAGAGATGAGCAGAAACGTAGGTTACCCCAGGGGTTAAAAATGTGGGTTCGTAAGCAGCGTAACCGGCAGCGGCTGAAAGACAAATTTACATCTTCAATTTTACTGTCCGGTTAAATTTCACATCGTATTGGATTAACATACACCTGCTTTAGATCACCCTCTACTTCCTACACCCCTCGGCAAGGAAAACGTTTGATGACCAGGCACCAGGTTGAGTGCTGGACGAATGAGACAGTCGGAGGTGGGGAGCGAAAGGAGGTGGAGAGTAACGTCCAAATGTCTGTTCTGTTGCGGCTAGTCCAACTTAACGCCACCCAAGCAAGTAAATACTCCCAGTCGCCACAACTAACCAGCTGTGACGATGTTACCCATGGTTTAGGGAGGAAGGGAGCCTTGGGCAATAGAATGGACGCAATTTAGTCGCTGATTTTTGAGACGTGGACATTTCCATTGCGTTTGAGACCAATCTCCCGCTTGAGTTGAGAGGACTTTGGTGCGGCTTACGTACGCCTCATGAGGTGGGGGGCTCATAGCGTTATACAAGATGACAGGCCAGTTTGAATGGCCCGAATTGATGGAGGGGGTGCTGGACTTTAAATAGCTCCAGTAGGATAGTTAATCAGAAGGGTGTCAGGATGAATTTATCGACAATGCTGTAAAGCGACAGAATTCAAGTGGAAGAAGTCTTGACTAACCCATTTAGAAGAGAATTATGTCCTCGGAGCCAAAAAAACAGAGGTTTAATTCCAGATGAGAACCAGTTTGTGTTGTTCGTTATTCTGGTCAAACTGCTTCATAATCGCATTAATCTCCCTATGCACCCAAAGCCTATGCATATTGTTTCATTCTTATAGCCGTCTTTGCTAACTAAGCTAGGCCAGCTCGTGTTTTGAGAAATATAAACACTAAAAATAATTCTACTGGAGTCTATACATATGTAGGGGAAAATTAATATATTGGGTAGATTTTTAAAAAAATTATAAGGAAATCGCGAATGACTGTCCTAATTTACAGAAAGGCCATTCAGATCGAATTTTAATGCTGACAGATATTTAAAAAATTGTCAAGTAATGGCTCCTGTCGAATTTCATGAGGGGCTTTCTAACTATTGTGTCGAGTTACTTGTGAAGAGGATCCTGAATAGATCTCCTCAAACTTCTTCCATTAAAACTTTTGTACGGTAGATAATTTTTACTGGAAGTGACTGATAAGTCTTCGTAGTTAATGATGATTCTAAAGGGGGTAGTTTCTTTGGGACGGGTAGTGTTTTAGACTAGGTACTTATAGTCTTCATTAAGTTCACTGCTTATACCGTTTCTAAAAATGCTTCATATTTTGCACGCTTCCAAACTTTACGCACTATTGATGTCAGTGATACAAAGTTCCAATTCTCTTAGTGCTGTTATGGAAAGGCATTCTGAAAGTTTTTAAATATTCAAATCAGTAAATGCTAGCCAGAGTTGTGAAATGTTTTTTTCAATTAGAAAAGCTTACCTAAGCAAATTTGCAATGTTAAATATCATACAGCGTATTCCGAAGAAAGTGCGTTCATTTCAGGATGCCGGATTTTAAAATAACTTCTTTCCGACCTCCTGAAACAATCACGCACTGTAAAACCTGACTACATATATATAGTACGCAATTTTTAATGTTGATTTTCAATGCCCCTATGTATTCAGATATATTTCATAGGAAATAGCATCTACTTCATATATTTGTTTTGTACTCATTTCTTAACAGACTCGGCCTTCTTCAAACTTCATACTTGAATAAAGAACATCTTTCTGTTATAAAAAGCTTTCTCAATTACTGCGTCATTCTGAATCCAGTCTGTTGTTACATCTGCATTTACTGTTTCTAAACAAAATCTGTCGTTTTTCCGCGTGAATAATTGTTTTCATTTATATACGCTAGTAAGACTATGTTACATATTGCTTGTAATGTTTTACGGTGAATGAATTACGGATGGTCTACCTCCAAAACAGCATTAGGGAAAGGTATTTTAAGTAGTACATCTCATATACCCCTAGTCCCAGAATTTTTTCCTACGGAAACGGGGGTTGTAGGGGTTTTGAGGGTGGGGAAATAGAGTGGGTGGTGAAGTAAATTTATAGAACTAAGTGTCAAATGGAAAAATGAAGTTGAATTTGTTTCCCGTGGCCACTGGGAGTAAGTTGTCCCTCATGTAAACTGAAGGTGTGCACGGCGCTTCGCGTCGCGGGCTATACCAATCTTACTCCAGAACGGTAAGTTGGACCTCAGATAAGTGGAAGTAGACGACCTCCTAACCACCGTTTCTATTTTTCAAGAATTTCGAGAAACCTCCATTTTGATAACCGGGTTTACCGCAATACGCTAAACGATAATACAGATTGGGGCAATCTACAGAAATAAATCAACGACATTCCTAAATACAATAAAATAAAAACGCATATAGCAGTTAAAATATACTCCACTGCCTATCCTAATTCCCCAATCATAAAACCCCTATAACCACCGCTTTCGTAGGACAAAATGCTGGTACCAAGGGTATATGAGGTGCATTACTTAAACTACGGTTGCCCGGCATTAATAAATGAAAAGATAAGGTCTTTTATGAATGGACGTTCCTCGGTCTTATAAGCTCATAGTTGAAACTGTTATAACCGTAAGATTCACTTTCTTCGGGTATGACTTTTGAAGTATATGTAAGTTGATCTCAACTGAGCACAATAAAAACACTTTTATGCCTGTTGACTATAAAATCTATTGGAAGTTATGAGGAGATTAAAAATGAATAGGGAAAAACGGGATACTAAAGTAGTCATTTTTGCAATGTGTAAGTTTTGTGAGCGGTCAGAAAGAAGTTTGTTCAAAAACCGGCATTCTAAAGTGAATGTGATATCTTGGCGCTATACTCTACGATAATTAACATTGTACCGTTACTTAAGTTATCTCTTATATTAGAAAATACCTTTCAGAATTTCGGTTAGCATTTTGGAAGACAGCAAATCACCTGTATATCAGAAACAAGTGACATGCCTCAAAATGGTTATTTGACTAAATTGCATATCTGATGAAAGGTTGGAGGTTGGGGGACTTAACACACATTT